TGCCTGAAGATACGGCCGCTGCTGCAGGGCACAGCGCCGCAGGGCACGGCTCTCCGTAACTCACCCACACTCGCGAGGTTTTGGTCGTGAGCCCCGCGTTTCAGATGCTTGCTGGCTAACGAGCAGACACAAAGGGAGGTCACGGGGAGAAAGTGAAAAGGAAACTGAAAAGGTGCTTTTGAGGGGAAATGGTATGGAGACCTTCTAATGATTACTTTAGAAACGAGAAAACCGAGTCTTTTCCCTCTTTGCTGCGCCCATCAGCCTGTTGCATTGCAAGCTCTTTGTATGCGTGGCATGAGCTCTGGGTTTGCCTGAGACAGCACTTTCCCCAAAGAACCAGCAGTTGGAAAATTACATCATTCCTAAATACTTAAGGGCTGAAGTCAGCCAGGAGCCAGAGCGTTACAAAGCCGAGGTTCGCTATCATCTGTGAGCACGCATGCCAAGCCACGGTGCACGTGCAGACGCCCGGCTCACCACTGCTTTTACAGCAACTACCCCGTCCCGAGCAGCCAGGGAAGGGCACGCTGTCCCTCCCCGGCTGCCAGCACGGAAAACACGCGGGCACTCGCCTGGGAACTGCCCAGAGAAGGGCGACAGGGCCCGGTCTGCAGCGCACAAGCCCTTGAGCCAGGACACCCTGACGATGCGTGGGTCGGGTGGGACCGAGCTCCCTGGCGCTCCTGGACCACCGTGCCTCCTCCAGCCTCCGGCACACGTGCCAAGCAGCACGCGAGCGTAAACGTAGTGATGCACAGCTGTACATGCAGGGGGTGAACTGGGAGAGGACTGGGATGGGAGGGAGAGGAGAACTGGGATGGGAGGGAGAGGAGAACTGGGATGGGGGGGGAGAGGAGAACTGGGATGGGAGGGAGAGGAGAACTGGGATGGGAGGGAGAGGAGAACTGGGATGGGGGGGGAGAGGAGAACTGGGATGGGAGGGAGAGGAGAACTCAGGGAGGGGGGGGAGAGGAGAACGGAGATGGGGGGGAGAGGAGAACTGGGATGGGGGGGGAGAGGAGAACTGGGATGGGAGAGATGTGAATGATAAAGTCTGGCAGGGTGTTGGGCAAGGGCCGCAGCTTGACCCGCCACAGCCACCCCCCAGTGCCCACTCAGCCCCTGATCCCCCTCGTCTGGGAAGGTAACAGCGCAGGCTGGGGACGCACTTCGATAAGTCGGAAGGAGAAAATGCAATTTCTTTCTACTGTTCAGAATTGAATTACAGAGGACAAATCATATTTTGGCCTGAAGTTATATTAGTTTCATAAAGGCAGAAGAAGCTTCACCCACCTTTAGTGCTGAAGTCGTCCACCAAAATGACTTCTTCAATCAGGTGCGGAGGGGATCTGCCGAGGACGCTGTGAACGGAGCGGAGGAGGGTGGACCACACTTCATCCACAAAGCACATGATGATGGTGGTGGTCGGGAGGTCATCGTGAACCCGCTGCTCGGAGCACCTGCAATGGCAACACGGGCTCATAGGCCACGGCCGGCTGCGCTCCTGAAAATCTCCGGGTGTGGGGTTTGTTGGGAAAATGCACAGGGAGGGGGGAACAGCCAAACGTGAAATACAGAGGCAAAGGCCTGCAATGGGGCTTTGTCGGGAGAGGGAGCAGAGGGGTGAGGGGGGGGGCAGCCCCATGGGATAGGATGCACTCACCCCTTTCTAACCGGGACCTTTTTCCTCCCTACCCTGGGTTAGAATATCTCCTTGCCATGAGCAAACAGTGCAAAGGCCCCAGGGAGCGAGGCCGATCCCGGCTCTGCACCACTGGCGCCAGGGACCCCTGCAGGGACAGGATCCCTGTGCGCTGGTGCCCTCCCGTGATGCTCTGAGCACCGGCGGGGCTTGGGATCCTGGGCTGCCTGGGACAGCCTTGCTGGAAAAAAAGAATCGGCATTGTGTTCAAAACGCAGGGAAACGGCCGTTTGCATGAAGGGCTGCTCGGCACAGCAACTCGTCAGACACGCAGGCAGCAGGAAGAGCCGCCCGGGCCAACTTCTGCACCTAACCCAGGGGACCACGCAGGATGGGAAAACATTCAAGCATCCAAATTTCACGTGTGACGGCACCGGCGGGTCCGCTCCCTGAACACCCATGCCTCCCCAGGGACACCCCTCCCGGCCAGCCGTGCCCCGAGCCCACGTGTGGGGGCTCCGAGCGGCGCCCGCTTCCCTGGCACGCAGCCAGCTATTTGCATCGGGGATCCGAGGGAGCGATAACATCTCCCCTGTGTCCGTGGGTTTGTCATTTTAGTTTGTGACAGCCAAAACCGCAGCGGCTGGGGCTGGCCTGTGTCTTCAGGGTCTGAACAAAAGGGCCACGAGCAGCTTTTCTCATCTTCCCTGTGCAAGTCGAGCGCCGTGGTGCCGCATGCCCTGGGGAGCGGGGCCCCCTCAGCTCTCCCGTTTCCCGGTGGATCTCCAGGCTGTGGGGCGCCCGGCAGAGCGCTCCTCTCCCCCCGGCCGGCCGGTTCATCCCAGAACACCCGCGAGTTGCCCGGACGTGCTTTCTCTCTCATCAATAAACCCAAATCTGATAGCCAGTTTTCCTCTCTTGCCCTTCCAGCGCAGACCCCCTGCAGGCAGGACAGGCACCCGTCTGTCTGCGGGTGCAGAAAATTAATTTCTCGGTGATGAAAACCCTGTTCACTCTGCTGTCAGCAACAGACAGAAAACAGGGACGGGTATACAGGAGCGTATGGAAAATTGATGTCTTGTCCTTCTGTCTCAATGAACGGGCCCTCAGGTTCGGCTGGTGCTGGCACAGATGCTGACACCAGGGTGCTGTGCAGCTCAGAGAAGATAATTCAGAGGTATCTCAGGGCTTCGCAGCTCATCAGAAGTGCTCTGGGTAAGTGAAAATAACCCCAGAAGTACTCTGCCGCAGTCCTTGGGACGTGTCTCTCCTTCTCCTTCTGCAGGCTGGCCCACCTCGGGCAGCGGCCAGGGCTGGCTCTGCCAGGAGGTGAGATGCTCTTGGGTACGGTTGGGCTGGAAACCACAAGGGTGCTGGCCCGTGGAGCTGGGACCTCTCGGCAGCGGTGGCCTGGGCATGCCTGCAGGACAGCCAGGGTCGATGGAGAGAAGGCAGGGGCTGAACTGCCGGGGAGGTCACTTGCAAGAAGGAGACAGAACAAGGGACAGCAAAACTAGGAGAAAAAAGATGAATTTGGCTCTTGGGTACGGTTGGGCTGGAAACCACAAGGGTGCTGGCCCGTGGAGCTGGGACCTCTCGGCAGCGGTGGCCTGGGCATGCCTGCAGGACAGCCAGGGTCGATGGAGAGAAGGCAGGGGCTGAACTGCCGGGGAGGTCACTTGCAAGAAGGAGACAGAACAAGGGACAGCAAAACTAGGAGAAAAAAGATGAATTTGTAGTTGTTTCTACAGCAAACCCAAGGAGGCAGCTCATGGAGGGAGGCGGGACAGAGGCCATGGATGAAGTGGGAGACAGCGGCTGAGCACAGCAGCTTTCATGGCATGGAGAGAGGGATGCGAGGGTGGTGAGAAAACGCAGCCGAGACCCAGGCCGTGAAGGCTGTGTGCAGCCGGGCAGTCCCTGCTCAGGGACCTTTTAGCCCCTTGCTAGCAGCACGTGGGCTTTTGGCCAAAGCCCGCACATACCCCGTGGGCAGCGCGAGGGTGATAGGAAACCTCAAACTGAGGAACACCTTCTTCTCACTTCTTACCCAAAGAAGTAGGATTTCTAGGCAGACAGCAATGGGCTTGGTATTGTTGACCCCCAGCTAAAGGTATTTCACCATGTCCTGTGTGAGTTTGGGCTCCATTTCTTTGCTAACGTGCTGGTTTGGGCTGGGGTGGAGTTCACTTTCTTCCCAGTCGCTCGCGTGGGGCTGTGGTTTGGGTTTGTGCTGGCAGCAGCGCTGATCACCCCGGGATGGGTTGGTTCCTGCT